ATCAATTAACACATTGATTGACATTTGCTCAGTCGTATCTTAATGTTAAACATTATACATTCAGTCCTAATTATGTTATTCGATCCTAAGAAGAGATAGCAATAATTTACTTACATAAGTTTAAGCGGGAAACTTTAGATACTTGTAGCATGGTTATAGACATGGTCAGCTTGTTCAACTCCTCAATTCTGCAGAGAGACTTCTACACCAGGGAAACTAACTTTTCTTGCCCAATACATGGGTTCTTATACTAAATTTGTTGGGTATCTTTAGGACTTTCCAAATATTGTACCGGCAAGTAGGCCTGGCACTTAATTTGTTAATTTTTGCAAACTCATCGTGATTCTCAGAACCAAAAACAAAACTACTTTGATAATTGGTTATAGCTGAAGACGGTAAATCGGCAGCCTCCTTGCTTGTATCTCTTCTCGAATGTTCAATATGAATCCTACATATTGAATCCTGATTCGTCCCTTTTTTTAAGTATCTATGTCCAAGTTCATGTAAACGTTTCTTATAGCTTTCTCTCTACTACAGTGGCGTCAGTCTCTAGATACGGATCTCGTGTCCAGTCTCTAATGAGACTTGCACGATCATTCCCACAGCTGTGACAGCGTAGGCTTATAGAAATTACAAACATCTATTTCTACAACTTATCTTTAGTTTATACCCGACATTACTTTTGAAAGTATTTTGTTGGCTTCTTTGCATTACCAATTTGTACTGCTGATAAGATTATTTAGCTACTCTCTTGGCTTGCCTTCAACGTGTTCTTTAATGAGACAGTTTTTAATAATATGTTGGTTTCTCTGATGTTGTAGCATGTTCAGCTGTGAAGCTTTTTATGAATTTTTATTGGGGTCCCTCTAGTCCCAACATCTACTATAGTCAAGATGTTTGTAGCATATTGCTTGCATATTAGTACTGCATTTAACCTATTTGTAAGTAATGTGCAAGCATCGCAGTGAAGCTTTTTGTAACAACTGGTTTGGCTTCACTGCAGTACCAATATATACTGCACTAAAGGAGTTGTTTTTAAGTAATATGTTGGATTCCCTGCAGTACCAAATTCTATTGCAGTGAAGTTTTTCTAACTATTTTGTTGGTTTCTCTGCAGTGCCAGATTGTACTGCAGTAAGGTTCTATGTAAATTTCTGGTTTATTTCCCTGCAGTGCCAAAATTTACTGCAGTGAAGTTTTTTGTAGTTAGTATTGTGGCTTTCACGCAG